GTGTGTCGCACTATGAAAACCCGAATGTAAAAGAAAACAGAGTGTCTGTGGTCACCTTGTAGACTTAAGGTCGGTATAAGCTGGATATTTTAATCATTTTCCGTTATAAAGGTGATTTCAGGAGGGACACTAAACCACTTCAAATAATAAAACTTCAAAAAAAAAAAAAAAAGGTTTTAGCAAACCAGACCGTTTATCTGTTAGAGTCACATCATATTATATACATTCGGATTTAATAAATGTCTCATCTGTTCTTTTGCTACGACTACAATCATGATCTCGCAGTCACATATGGTATGTCTTTGTGTGACATAAAGGTCGATATTTTTTAATAATTCTCATCAGATTGCCTTGTTGTTTTGTTGTCACTACCTGATAATTTGATGTGAAGACCTGACGTTTTTATAAATGGACCGATCCAACATGGCGGTTGTTGTTAGAGACGCTTTCCCTTCTTAAATGGTATTATTCTCCTTTCAAGGGTCTCCATGTGAAACTTTCCTTTGTCTGCCCCTGTTTTATCATTTTTGGTAAGAATTATGATTCTGTTGACACTTTGGTAATATGTTGTTGCTTATTGTGTGTGTTTAATCAGTGATCTTTCGGAAAGTATTGATTAAAAAAATATTTCAAAATCAAAATGACCTTTTTCCATGGTCTTTTCGTATTATCATTTATATTGCCAAAATTACTTTAAGTGAATTTCCACACACAGGTTCCTATGCAACAGTTCGGTTCAAAGTTCGTAAACAGCTTCCTGCACGAAACCAGCCTATGTCATTAGTGCACATGCACTATTAAAGTCCCTTTCCTATCTATTCCTGTATCTCCACTTATGACGATATGCACCCGGGTTCTTCTGCTGGGAACCCATTTCCAGTCAAGCTAACGCCGTTGATCAGCTGCCTTTCTATTGTTAGATGTTGATGCTGATGTCAGCTCTTACTTGGTCAAGAGCACTATTTTCACTAATCTTTTGAAATCTCCTAAGATATTGATGCATTGGGTATGACCTTAACTTGTGTGATGTTGTTGACCTGGCCTGACCTTAACCTGTTGCATTGAAAGGTCAATGTGTCCTATTTCCTAGTACTTACTCAGTGTACAGATTTTGTCTTCACCTGTTCGGAAGCTTTGCATACAAACAATGCACAAGCCAACCATCACAACTAATACTCTCACAATTCAGGCAATATTTTCTGTACAAAAGATTAACATGATATTTCACGGCTCAGTAATATTTAGCATACAATTTAGCAAACACAGAGTAAGTGATATATTATACTATCTATTGCACCATTACCTACTAGACTGTCCAGCTTTGCATTACACGGCATCCATACATGTTTTACCTTCTTTAGTGATTGTTCACTATCAAAGCTCGGGTAACAGTTTTTTCTGTCCATTTACTGTTAAGTCTGCCGTCCGCATACGTGGTTGGACATACACAAAAATAGAGCTGAACAAAAAACTAACCATCAACTTATAGACCACAAAACAATAAAAAGATGACTTTCTTCCCGTATAACGTAATTCAAATATGACGTTATCAGTAAATATTAAAAAGTAAAACATACCTTGTAACAATTACTGTTATACTCATATATATATTATTATATCTGCCTAAGCAATTGACCTATAGTTGACTTACTTTGTTTATGACGTTATAAGTAGATATGGAAATTAGGAAGTATTACACTGTTATCGGTAAGATATGTTGCAAACATTGATGGTTCTCATAAGGTTACGTGTGCAGTGCAGGCGCTATAAAAGTAAACAGGATGTATTATATTATTCAAGCTAACAGTTTGATATGCTTTCCCAATTTATGAAAAGTATATATTGTCATTGTCAAGTACAAAGTACTTAAGATGATAATGATAATGTTATAATGATGATGATGACGTAATAATGATGATGATGATGATTATTATCCTGATGATTTATTATGATGATGATGGTGATGATGATGATTGGTGTGTGTGCATATGCTATGTACAGTAACCTATCTTTTAAAACGCTTGAAAAAGGAAAAATAAATAAAAACTATTCAAAAGAATTAACAAAAAGTACAAAGTACTGTATTAGGCATAGCGCAGACAGACGTTACAGCTACAGTAACTTGTTTAAACGGAAATGGGATCTGATGATTTTAGAAATAATAAAAAGACTTAATATCGGAAATAGGCTACAACACGTTAATGTGATTCAACCAATGCTCGTATAGAAAGAACGTGTGGTGTATAGCACTCAGTAAGTGACACAATATCTTTACCGCATTGTTCCTCCCAAATTAGATATAACAAGTTGTTGCTCTGCCAATTTGATGGCTATAACGCACAATATTGGTACAAAGAAAATGGTTTGGTAATTAAAACATTTTATTTTTCTAATCTGTTAAAAAAAAATAAAAAATATACTTATCTAGATACTTGAAATTATTCGAAAAATATTATTACGTTTCTTGGATCGAAAGATTAATAGAAAACTTTAATTTGCACACCACTATAAATAATGCAATAATGACCATTATGAGATTAGTTATTATAATTATCATTTTTTTTTCTAAAATCGCTGAAATAGTAATCACTTACTCAAGGCAAAAATCCGTTCTTTTTATCGACACATTCTTAAACTATATCCCCGCTTCAAACTCAAATACCATCTTCATATCTAACACCCACTCACCTCCTGTCTGTGGTAGCCTTCCCGTTACCTACTCTTGCTCTGATTAGTAAAACTAACATGTCCATACCAGACCTATATAATGTGTCATTATTATTTCATCCGTTTGTTATGCTTATTTCAAGTATTTGTGTTTCAGTAATACCTCTATTTCATATTTGTTTAATCCTTTTTATACAGTAAGTTAACTATCAATAAAATACACTAACGTAGTGACAAATTATCTTAACAGAATTATACTGTATTTTGATTCGCAGATTGACTATAAGAAGGTGATTTGCTCCACGTTCCGAAACAAATAGCCACATATTACTGGATATAAGGGAAGTGGCTTTGATACGATGAAACGTTTTCAACTTCCTAAATTAAATGTATTTTGATGAAACTGCATCCTAGAGGTGGCGCCAATGAAAACAGTTGGATTTGATAAGTTCATGAAATATGAGGATATGTCCACAACACATAAGATATGCTTACACACGGAAGGTATGCTATCTTAGCCTTATTATCGTATACTTCTCACTGTAATCAGTGCATGGAATCCTATAGAGCACAACACCGTTGCTCTGCTTTCTCGTCCGTAAACAACAACAACAACAAAATAAAGGAAAAACAATATATTTGATGTCAGGTTCGCATAATGCTACATTATATATTTCCGTTGTTTTGTAAATTTGATTATCATTGTTCAACAACATATACTTGGTTCCTTCTCAGGATGAATTTTATAAAAATTGCTGAAAGTAGTACTTTTCTATTTATAGAACATGCAAGAGAACATATCTTCACATAATTATCAACAAGTACATTACGGTATGCGTTACCAGAGAGAGCTCTGTTTACGGGATTACCATCCAAAACGGGTTAAATACATAAAGGTATTATGACTGTACCGCATTCGTTGACGGGGTCATCAGTTTGACCTTATTTTGTATTACCGTCACAGCTATTTCGTATTAACGAAAGAGGTCTGTCGTTATAATGACTTCATTTCTCGTAATAACGACAAAGGTATCTTTTAT